AATTCAACTTGGGGGGGTCTTAAAGTAAATTTCCCCTTTGGGAACTAGGTTTTTCCGAAAACCCTTTTATAGCACCCCCTTAACGCAATTATGGGTGTGATCGCGCCAGTGGGTCTGGGTCCCGGGCGTGTCCATTCCCCATACCCTTTCCCCTTTGGGAGTGAGGGGGCAGTAGTCCTAAAATGCCCTTTTGCTTTAAAGGAAAGAAATGGGGTTTTTTATTAAAGGTTCTGGTCGTCTGAAAAATCAACAAGTAAGGTATCAATAAAAAAATTATATTTTTTTTTTCTATTTTTTTTTTCCAAAAATAGAGGGGGTTTTTTTTCCTTTCCCCTTGGTAGAAAGATCTAAATAATTTTTTTGCTAACTTTCTTTAACTTTTAATAATGAGTTTCATTTTATTTTTTTGGGGGGTATGAAACCCACATCACCATCAACCATTTAATTGGTAAACACAAGTTGTATTGTCAGGGGAACCCAAATTTAAAATTTTTGGGCCCTTTGCAAGTGCATACTTTTTAAATTCGGGCCCCCCCCCGGGGAAAAAAACCCCCCAACCCCTTCCCCGTTGAAAGCCCATGCTCAAACCAACTGAGCTCAAGGGTAAATACCTTTTGGGTACATTTATCAAAATGTGGTTGTAATTCCGAGATTAAAAAATTTTTAACCCCTTTTAGTAAAATGACCGTTTTTTTTAAAAACCCCCTTTGGGATTTCTAATCCCTTGTAAAAATTGTTGGATCTGATTTGAAAAAGCTAACTTTTCCCGATGGCCTAAAAAAAAGATATCCCGATATTGGCCCTTTTGTCTTTCACCCCAAACGGAGCTCCTTTCCCCTCTGGGTAGGGGGAAGAAGCAGAACGCTGTCCTTAAATTTGTGCTGAAAAAAAGCCCCGCTTTCCCGAGTTTTCCCTTTTTCCCTTTTCCTGATTTGGCCAATTATTTGGTTGGGGGGTTTTTTGGGCCTTCCGCGCGTTTTTTGACTTTGTGGGAATAACCCCTTTTGGGATTTATGGGGTTTTTAATTTAAACCCGCCTCAGGCAAGAAAAAACCGTGCATACGTAGCTTAAGACGGGTTATTTAAACAACAAAACTGGTGAGAAATGTGAGGTGCGCGTAAAAAGGGGAAAATTGTGCCTTTTTAAAGGAAATATGGGGGGTGGGTTTTTTTGGAGATAAAGGCCCACATTTACGCCCCTCTCCGCGAATCCCTTGGGCCATCAGATGCCCCTTGGGAAAACGTTTTGGACACCCCTTTGGGCCGTGGATGGACACTTTGGGTTGGCCTCAAACAACCGCCCAAGGAAAGCCTCGCTGCCCCCTGCGGGCTATCCCCGGCGGAGCCCCTGAACGCGGGTCACTTAAAGAACGGGGCGATTTTTCTCCCCCAGGCGCTGGCGGGGCTCGAAACGGGGGGGGCGCTCCTCCCGCGCAGACTTGGGGGGCTACTGTTTCCCTTTGTAGGCTTTGCCCGGGTGGTTTTTGGGGGGGGGTTTTTGTTTGGTTCTGGCCTGGCGTTTTTGCTTCCTTTTTTTAGACGTTTTATTATAGCCTCAAAATCCCATGTAAATTAAACCCTCGGCATCTGCTGTTTTGGAAACCATTTTCCCCCCCACTCCCCATTGGCCCGTTGCGGGGGACCCTCTGTGGGTTAAACGGGAAAAGGATGTTTTGGCTTTTTTTTTTTTTGGGAAACCGCGGCCCTCACAAACACTGCGCCCCAAAAAACCCATGTCACAAAGCGGGGTGAGTACAATAGCACCCCTTGCGGCCCCCTTTGCCCCGGCAATAATATTCTTCAAAGTAAAGATTGAAATTTTGTTTTAAAATTTTTAAAAAAATGCTAGCCTTTACCCGGCAAACGAGGCCAATAGTACATTTTCCTTTCCAAAACAACTACAAAACCTGCGCGCTGGAAAAAGCACACTGACAGTCGGGAGTTAGCCTCAAAAGGCAAAAGACCGCCTTTGGCCAAAACCCAAAGGGAAAACCGCTCGCAAAATCCCCCCGGGGGAAAAAGCCCCCAGGAACCGCCCCGCCCTAAGGCTGCTCGCAAAGCCCCCCGGCCAAACCGGGGGTTGGGAAGAAGCCTCACCCTTTCCCGGCCCCCGGCACCTTTGGCCTAGAGGATCCTCGTTCCAGAAGCCCAACTACTTTTATCCGCAATTTCCCTTACAGCGCCTTTGAAGAATCGCCCAGGACTTAAAGACCGCCCTTTGCGCTTCCAGGCTCCGCCGGGGAGGGCCCGCAGGAGGCTACGGGCTTCCCTGGTGGGGCCTTTTCGAGGCCCCCAAACCCCTGGGGCGCCTCCACCCCAAAACGGGGGGAAACCCTCATGCCCGGGACAACCCAAAGCTGGCCCGCTAATTCGGGAGAGGGGCCTTTAAATTTTGGATGCCCCTAACTCAAAACCCCCCCAAAAGGCTCTTTTAAGAGCCCCCCCCATTTTTCCATAAAAAAAGGCCAATTTTTCCCATGTTACACGCACCTCTACTTAAAGCCCCATGTTGTGTTTCCTAAAAATTCTAAAAGCAAACGTATTGCCCCTTTTAAAAGTTTCCTGAAGTCTAGTTTAAAATGTTTGTGGGTGTGTGTGGGTTTTTAAAATACTCTGGCATACCCCTTTTCCTTTTGAACTATGTAGCACAGTAAAATGTTTTTAAAAGGGGGGGGAAAAAAAACGATGAAAAATATAGGCCAAATGAAACAAAAATTTTGTTCAGAAATAACGCCTATTAGTTGGTGCAAAAATCCCTTTCATGCAGCCCCAAAAAAAAATTGCATGCCAACTTATTTTGAAACCCCCATTTTTCCATTCTGCAAAAGACTCATGAGGGGCCCAAAAACTTTCCAGGGGGCCACGGGGGGCCCTCTTGGGGTTTAAAATTTGGGGGGACTGAAATCTGGTGATTCCCTTTCAGTATTTGCTCTTTAGGCCAGCGTTTCCCAAACGTGGTCCTGGGGTCCCCAAGGGTGCGCGTTGTTGCGTTTTGCCCTAGCACTCCCAGCTGATTCTAATACTCCAGCTTGATGATGATGAGTTGATTATTTGAAGCAGCTGTGTAGTGCTAGGGCAAAAAACTCCCAAAACGTGCCCCGAGTTTGGGAACCCTGCTTTAGGCTAATACTAGCCTATTAGGATGACTTGGTTCGATCGCTTTAATGGCAACTGCTGAACTCTGGTTTTTCACTAATTACTTGTCCCAGGTCACCATATGAAATCCAATAGCAAAGCAAATTTTTCAAAATTGCTCAATAGTGAAAAAAGGGCAGGAAACGATGGGTTCTCAGCAATATTTCACCAACAACCAATCACTATTCAAGCATAGACATTAGGATCATCAACAAATATTCCTAAATCATACTACAAAAGGGTTGTAACGAAATGGATTTGTCCGTTCAATGCAAGTTCAACGTCAAAGAAAAAGATCATCACCACAACAAACGTGTCTTTAGATACACTATAAAAAATGACTTTGTGGAATGTATCAAGCTATTACAGTCAACAAAAGCACACGTCATATTATTGAGTAGATCTTTTGCTTGTTTTTATGAGTAGATAAGCTTGAGTAAGTTGTTTAGATGTGGTCCAATACATAGAGTAAAGATGATAGAGGTAAAAAAGGATTATATTACGTTGATTCAACTCAAATAGACATTGTGTTATTTTACCTGAATGATTCATCCTATTATGTATTTAGACCAAGTCAGAAAAATTTTCACATTTTTACTTTGGATTCACTCAATCAGATCCCTTAAGAGAAAAGGTATCCGGACACCGGGAATCCATTTATTTAAACATCAACGGTTTGCAAAACATCTGTTATTATGAGATGAGAAATTACGGATTTGCAATCAACACTGCAGGTAAATCCTGATTGCTGCAGGTAGGCAAAACCGTAGAAATAGGAACTACAACACTAACTAGTATAGGATCTCTGTGGGCAGAACCATTACATACGAGAGATACAATGGCGCTTCAACCCCATAGACGTCACGGGGAACAAAATATTCTCATAGTAACCATGGATACCTACGGAAATGGAGGCTCAAATAGCTCGTGTTTGCACTGTGGGATATTTTTCAAACTACAATGCCAAAACATTGAACAACCCCAATAATCTAAACACTTTTACTCGTTTGTTCTATAACATTTCTCTGTTCACGAGCACTGCTGATGGATGCCACCTATATTACTTTGGTCATTTTTCCTTTAACCCATTAATGTTGTAGGTGCGCCTTTTTTCAACAGTACCACACCTGCTGCTATTTCAACCTCTAAATGGCCGCCTATGAAAAGCCAAGTGACATTTACTCCTGATGTACCGACTGTACCGACTGACCTGTTGCAACCTCTACAACCACTGTGCTTATTATTTGACCCTGCTGGTCATCTATGAACGTTTTGAACATCTTGGAGAGAAATGTTGCCCTTAATGGCCACGTACTGTTGTAATCTCCACCCGGCAAAAGCAGAAGGGCACGGGGCACCCCCAGGGGCCTGGTTGTTCTCTAGGTTTGTGCCTTTCTAGGGATTTTTTTCCCTAGCCCCCCCCAAGCTTTTTAAACATCTGCACCCTTGTTTTTTGGGGGTTTTTTAACGGGGTTTTTTCCTGCCATGGGCACTTTGGGACATCTGTTGATGAAAAAGGGGTTTTTTATAAATCCATTTCCATTTTGATTGATTGATTGATGGTAAAAATTTGTCAAAATACCAGGGGAAAAAGGTGTGTCCCTTAAATGAAACCTCAAAATGGAAACTACAAGGGTTTCCCAAAATGGACATTTAAAACCGAAACTTTTGGGAAAAAAAATGGTTTTTAAAAATTTTAAAAAATGACCCCCTTCTTTAAAAAACCCCTTTTTTGGGGTATCTTTTGGGTATCCAAAACCCCAAGGGAAAAATCCCCGGGGGATGCCCCTTTTAAAAACCCACCTTGCAGAAAAAAACCGTGTTTTCCTTTACCCTCCCCCTTTTTAAAGCCTAGTTTACCGCCCATGGGGGACGGGGTCCCAGACCGCAATGTGCTCGGCCCCCGCCTCTGGGGTGCCTCCCCCTAGAAAGGGGTTTGGGTCCCAGAAAGTTCTGTCCCCCAGGCGGCTTCCCCAACAACAAGCGGGCCCCTGTGGTAAGGAAAAACCGTCCTGACCTGCTCCCAAAAAAATGAAGGGAGAAAAAGGGGTTTCCAAAAAGGGCCACCTCGCTTTTAAAACTACAAGGTGTTAAAGAAAACCCCTGACATTCATCAAATGACAATTGTCCCGGGCCTGGCATTCTGCTTAAGCCCGTCTTTTTTCTTGGGGCCCTTTCCCATTTTGCTTTTGAGTTTTGAGCGTCCGCTCCACAAAACCTTTTCCCTGGATGCCTTGAACTTTACTCCGGCTTTTGGGGGTGGCTGAAAAATTCAGGGGCTACGGTAGGGAAAAAGTTTTTGATCCCCTGCTTTAATTTTGTACTTTTTGCCCCCGGACAAAGACAGGAAGTCTATAATTGTAAGGTTAGGTTTTTTAAAACAGTAAAGGCCCGAAAAACAACAAAAAAACCCCCCAAAAAAACCGCATGTAAAAAATGTTTAAATTCTTTGGGTTTTTTAAGGGGAAAAAATTACCTTGCCCCTGCCCCCCCCCCCCCTTGGGGGGTTTTGGCTTGGCCACGGCGGGGAAGTATGGAATCTGTTTGTTGATTGCTTCTGTGGACCATTTGTCTTTTAAAACAGGTAACAGCTGAGATTAGGACCCTTTCCCCTTTTAAAATGAGTGTGCTCCTAATCCCCCGCTCTTTCCCTGAAATAAGAACCTGGGAGCCAGACATCTTTCTGATTGAGAGGGGTAAAATTACTTTTTTCCCTTTTTAAAAATGCAAATCAATTAAAACTTTTTTGGCATGCTTTTTTTTTTTCTGGAATTTTTGCTGTTATTCCTGTTTTCACTGTTCAAAAAAACCTACCATTAAAATTTATGACTGATCATTTTTTTTTGTCAGGGGGAAAACTTCAGAATCCCCGGGGATCAAATATTTTTTTCCCCCTCACTGTATGTCAGGGCCAAGAAAATGGCAGAACCCCCTTTTGCAAAACTCAGACCGGTGATCACCAAAGGGAAACCGCCTACCTCCTCGGGGACCCACTCCCCCAGGGGCCCCCTCCTTTTTAAAACGCAAAAGATTTGCTTTACATTTCCCAAAGGTCTTGCAGGAAATGCCCCCCCTCCGTCCTTTAAAAAATAAACACAAATACAGCTTCTGTAAATTTTGGGGGGGAACACTTTTATTCCCCTGGATTCGCCTCCCCCTTATTTTTATCAGTTTGGGGCGTGAACTTTCCCTCTCCCCCCCTCTCCACCCCACACACACACACAAAACACGGGGATCGAATTTCATGGATGAAATGTTTTTTTCCCCCCACACGGAAAGTTTTTTAATGAGGCCCCCTCCAAAAAAGGCTGAACAAAAATTCCTCACTAAACTCACATCATGCCTGAATAGAATAAATCACTGATCTCATTGGATTCAATCTGTGCATGTGAAATCTATGAAATCACCGACCCAATTATCCTATATTAGCAAAAGGTGTACAATAGCACAGCGGGGCCCGTGGCTAAATTGCAGCACCGAACATCAGCCAGCTAAATACAAAACAGTGCATTTTTCCTGAGGATACTTTACCATCCAGCATGACCCGCAATCTGTCTGAAAGTACTCCTCCTTGGAATGGAATAAGGACAGCAGCTTAGGGGTGTCCTGCATAAACCTTGCCTCAAGATGCTTTGCGGTGAGCCTGTGGAATTGTTCATTGATCTGAAAGACAATATTGAAATATCATCAAGCAAGGCTCATAACAAAGAGGTTTGTCATAGTGAAGACATCATTTGGCATTTTCTTTTTTTGCCTGCCGACTCACCTGAGAGGCTTCTAAACAGAGCAGGCTATCTGTCTTTCATGTCTTCAACACTGGGACACTGGTTGATCACTTCCGGTCTTTTGGCGTGCAAATGTCTTGGTCATATTTCCTGAAATCACCCTTGTGTGGTCCTTCTTTGCATGTTACTAATTCTATTCTCTGAGCGGCCACATCTGTTAAAAGAAGAATCTAGACGACTAAACATAACCATTAACCCATTTTATCAAGACCCTATACAACTACAACAAGTGGCTACGAATTGTGACAAAATTGATTATTTCCATAGCCATTACAGCAGCTAGCTTTTAGCTAACGTACGTTAGCAATCAAGGGCTGACACACGGTTGATACGCTACTAGCGAGTTCGCGCTAATACACATGGGCAGACAAACCTAAATTAGCTAACGTTAGCTTAGCTTAGAAAGTAACCTAGCTAGCACAAGCGCCCTTATGTTAGCTAGCTACCTACTAGCTAAAGGTAGTATGACACAAAAAAGAGGACGAGGAAACGTAGCGTGGGACGCCGTATTCTCGGCATATTCAACAGCATTTAAATAATGCATTACCTTCAACAGTGTTATCTTGTGATCAAGCCATCAATGTTAGGTGATTTTTGGTGGTGTCAAAATGTTAGCTAACGGGTTAGCAATTAGCAAGTTTGACATTTCAGTGGAAATACTATTTTCAGCTTTTTGATGAGCTGTAGTCAAAGGTGATTTTGGATTATTATATATGATTATTATTACGATATGTTATTATATTATTATTTTCAAGGCTATAGGGTGCGGTAACAGGCCCTCTGTGATTTGTTGTTGTACTGTACATGTCAAGTATCTGCACTCTAGCCTAATTCGCCTAACCCGCTAGGGAAAAGTCACTTCCGGTCGTAGCTGTATCCCACCTAGTCAAAACCTTGTTAGTCCTTATCCTAAAAGGCACCCTCTGTTCCTCGATATACTCCACCGAGGGCCGGCAGCCAGTAAGTACAGGTAAGTGACAATTATGGCAACAATAAGTTGTCCTATGAAAGCTAGTCACATCTGAGATGTTAAACTGCCCTGAATGATAAAGTGGCAGTCTGTGCTCTTGGGCCCTTATGGCATCAGTGCCCCCTCCAATTTGTCCCTTTTGAAATGAACAGTTGAGATGGGCCCTCTTTCTGTGGCCGTCCTTTGACGACACATCTGAGGCTATCCTGCGGGAATACAAATTATCAACATCATAACAATAATCCCCATTATAAGAAGCTTTATTATTGGTTTGCAAAGAAAGGTACAATACAATATTGGCACATCACTATCACCTCTGTATGGGTAGGAAATCAATCCCTTCATTGTGTGTGTGTGGGTGTGTGTGTAAAGGTACGCCACTCTCGGCCTCACCGTTTATGCATACGGTCGTCTTTATGCAACAAAATAGAAGACATTCCCAAATGTGCTTACATCATAGCGTAATGTCAGGGAGTCACACAAACAGTGTGTGCTGTTTGGCTGCAACACACATTAGGCATAAGGATGATGGCAACTATTTTCTAAATGCTCCAGCTTGCAGAGGGATCACCACCCCTCCCATCCGCACCCCAGGTCCTCTTGGCCCCCTTACTGTCAGGCCAAGTGCTGTCTATGGAAGAAAGAAGAAGAGCGATGTTATTAATGACAGTCAATACGACACGTCCTTCCATAGCTAAACAGACTGATCCTACTAGTTCAGTGTTTCCCAACTCCAGCGGTAGAGTAGCCTACCCCCAACAGGACCCATTTTTCTTGTAGGCCTGGACAGCCACAGCTGATTGAACAACCTGTCACCTAAATAATAGAATCAGGTGCAACAACAACAACAACAACAACAACAACAACAATATGAGGAGAGGGACACAGTGTACTAGCTGATCTCCCAGTTGTCACAGTTTGGCCTTGTGTTCCACATAGCCTATATCAGTATTTGAGTATGTTTCCCACGCACGTTAGTTGCTTTCACGTCATCTTTGAAATCGCTCCTCCCTAGTCCCCTAGAACGAGCGCCCTCCCCTTTGCAACGCCTCCGAACATATAACAGAGGCGCGCTTTCTGTGCCGCCGGCCTCAATCAGGTCGACCAAACGCAGATAATAGCGCAAACCGCGCACCGGCGCTGAAGTCATTCATTCACTTGAACTCAACTAGCGAACACACCATGTACGGAAGAGGCAAAGGCGGGCAAGGGACTCGGAAAAGGAGGCGCCAAGCGTCACCGCAAAGTTCTCTCCGCGATAACATCCAGGGAATCACCAAACCCCACTATCCGCCGTCTGGCTCGCCGCGGCGGCGTGAAGCGTATTTCCGGTCTGAATCTACGAGGAGACCCGCGGTGTCCTGAAGGTGTTCCTGGAGAATGTGATCCGTGACGCAGTCACCTACACCGAGCACGCCAAGAGGAAGACCATTACCGCCATGGATGTGGGACGCACCCTGTACGGTTTTGGCGGTTAAACCCACTCTCTTCGGAACCTCAACACCCCGACTCAAACCCAAAGGCTCTTTTAAGAGCCACCCACATCCCGCTTCAATGGGGCCCCATTCCATATAGTGTTATATATTTTTTTAAAAAATGTAATGCTATTTAGTAAGAAAGTATGAGCCACTTCGAGTGGACAGGGAGTATTAATTAGAGGATTCTATTGTCCCGTCCAGTTTTAGCGCACAGAGGGAGGCCTATATCTGACAGTGACAAAGTGTAAGAACGTTATTATTTTGGGTCAAGCAATGGTGGAATTTGGACAACATAAAGCCACCACGAGTCGGTAGACGTGGCTCGAAAAGAGGGGGACAGCGCGCACACACACACACAGTCCAAAATGGGAGCCCTATGTCTGACGGTGCCAAAGTGGGCAATTCTATCACCAGCATTATTTGGCACAACAATCGTGCCATTTGGACACCTATTAAAGCCCCCCTTTTGAAACACACAATTCCCCATCGGTCACAGAGCATAGGCTATAGAGAGGAGGGAAGGAGGGAGGGAGGGAGGGAGCAAGCAGGGGAGTGTCTACGGCCGCTGACTTTGCTTAGCTTCCTCTTCATAAGACGGGTAAGCGCCCTTCACCCCCTCATTCGTTTCTGAGAAGCAACGAGACATCATCATGCCCGAGCCAGCAAAGTCAGCACCCAAGAAGGGCTCCAAGAAAGCCGTCACCAAGACCGCAGGGAAGGGCGGCAAGAAGCGCAGAAAGTCCAGGAAGGAGAGTTACGCCATCTACGTGTACAAAGTCCTGAAGCAGGTCCACCCCGACACCGGCATCTCCTCCAAGGCCATGGGTATCATGACTCCTTTGTGAACGACATCTTCGAGCGTATCGCCGGAGAGTCCTCTCGCCTGGCCCACTACACAAGCGTTTCTACCATCACCTCCAGGGAGATCCAGACGCAGTGCGCCTGCTGCTCCCCGGTGAACTTGCCAAACACGCCGTGTCCGAGGGCACCAAGGCCGTAACCAAGTACACCAGCTCCAGTAAACAGCGCATTTGGACTGCTCTACTAACCCAAAGGCTCTTTTAAGAGCCACCCACTCTGTCAGTAAAAAAGCATTCCAATCGCCACCAAATGAATGCGTAGGTAGGCTGCATTACATTGTATGACCGCTGTTACATTGTATCATTGTTTAATGGGCGGCGCGCGCGCCGGCTCGGAGAGCGGCTACATTGTATCATTTCCCCCTGCCCGTTCCAGCGTAGGGGTTTAGCGCGCCTTTTTTTGGTGTCTTTGCGCGCTGAATAGTAACACATGTTTGTCGGGCTCCATTCCAGGTGAAGGCAATGTAAAATGGCACCATTTGACAAAGGGGGTAAATAAATCAATCAAAAGGCAGTCTGTTGGGTTTGATTGGAAAGAAATGCCTTTTGTCGTCTAATGAGCGGATAGTCATTTTGAGTTGACTTCCTGAATCGGTAGGACACGGATGGAGTGAATGGATGCTCCATCATTGGACTATACCCTAATGATGTGAACGAGAATGATAATGGCAAGAATAAAAAGGTGGTGAATAATATGAATGAATGTATATAATTATATATATATATATATTTATATGAACGTAGCCCTTTTGGCCTACGGGTCATTTCCGGTCAAGGTCGCATCATCCATATAGTCCCCTGTAGCTCAGTTGGTAGAGCACAGCGCTTGCAACGCCAGGGTTGCGGGTTCGTTTCCCACGGGGGGCCAGTATGAAAATGTACGCACTCACTTAACTGTAGTGGCTCTGGATAAGAGCGTCTGCTACATGACTCAAAATGACCATGTGAAGTGTAGTACATTTGAGTCAAGTAGTGTATTTTCCTTCCTACTACACTCACGAGGCAACAGGATAAAAGGCAGTGGCTTCCACGTGACAAAGTGGGGATATGAATGTGTCTGTAGGCCAAGTCACAGTATAACAAAGTGAGTGAGTGAGTGAGTGTGATAGTCGTTGGAGCAGTAGTGGATTCCAATGACTACCTTGGGGATAGCCTATACAACAGGGAAAAGAAAAGAGGCCGCAATCAGCCTTCTGACCCACATGCACCTGCTGTGATCTTCTCCCAGTCCAACCACATATGCAGCACTGTGCCCACTCGGAGAGAGAGAGACAGAGAGAGACTGAGAGAGAAAGAGAGAGATAGAGAGACTGAGAGAGAGAGAGATAGAGAGAGAGAGAGACTGAGAGAGAGAGAGATAGAGAGAGAGACTGAGAGAGAGAGAGAGAGAGAGAGACTCCCTCTATCTAGGCCTATATCAACGCGCCATAGCCCATGGGGCGCCAGCCTCCATAGCGCCAGCCAGACACCAAGACCCACAGACACAAAGACCGAGCCGAGTCACGCTGCCGAGTCAAGCAGGTGAACAATATATTAGTAGAGACAGCCAACCTACCTACCTACCAGAAGGGAGGGGAAGACAACACACAATCTCACTGTGTAGAAATAGTAGGCTACAAATACAACAACAACACACACACTGCCAGTGCACAAAAAAGTACTAATACACACACAGTGCAAGTAATCATGTCGTAGGACAGTTCATACCATGTGGATCCTGTACATACGACGAATACAACTTGAAACTTGAAGTACAACACTAGTCCTCAGCCAGGCCTCACGGGTGCATGTGTTTTAAGGTCCCCAAAAGAGCACTTCTTTAAAACACCCTGGTCCACATCAGATAAAATCCTGCGACTTGTGACTGCAGGCCGCCCAACAACCCTGCCCCGCTTGACCCCATCCCCTCCTCTCTTCTCCAGACCATCTCCGGTGACCTTCTCCCCTACCTCACCTCGCTGATCAACTCATCCTTGAACCGCTGGCTATGTCCCTTCCGTCTTCAAGAGAGCGAGAGTTGCACCCCTTCTCAAAAAACCAACACTCGATCCCACTGATGTCAACAACTACAGACCAGTAATCCCTTCTTTCTTTTCTTTCCAAAACTATTGAGCGTGCCGTCTTTAGCCAACTCTCTTGCTATCTCTCTCAGAATGACCTTCTTGATCCAAACCAGTCAGGTTTCAGGACTGGTCATTCAACTGAGACTGCTCTTCTCTGTGTCACGGAGGCTCTCCGCACTGCTAAAGCTAACTCTCTCTCCTCTGCTCTTGTCCTTCTAGACCTGTCTGCTGCCTTTGATACTGTGAACCATCAGATCCTCCTCTCCACCCTCTCCGAGCTGGGCATCTCCGGCGCGGCTCACTCCTGGATTTGCGTCCTATACCTGACCGGTCGCTCCTACCAAGTGGCGTGGCGAGAAGCTGTCTCCGCACCACGTGCTCTCACCACTGGTGTCCCCCAGGGCTCAGTTCTAGGCCCTCTCCTATTCTCCCTATACACCAAGTCACTTGGCTCTGTCCATATCCTCACATGGCCTCTCCTATCATTGCTACGCTGACGATACACAACTAATCTTCTCCTTTCCCCCTTCTGATAACCAGGTGGCGAATCGTATCTCTGCATGTCTGGCAGACATATCAGTATGGATGACGGATCACCACCTCAAGCTGAACCCTGGCAAGACGGAGCTGCTCTTCCTCCCGGGGAAGGAAATGCCCCCTTTTTTGATCTCCGGGCCCTCACGGGTTACAACTCCGTTTTCCCCCTCCCAATGCAAGACCTTTTTGGGGGACCCTGGACAACACCCTGTCGTTCTCCGGGTAACAAACAAGGCGGTGACCCGATTTTCCCGCAGGGTTCCCTGCTCCCACAACATTTTCAATCCCCCGGTTCCTGGAGGGGGCCTAAACCTTTCTTTTTTTATTTCTCCTGGTGTTTTGGGCCCCCCTGGTTTTCCCCTTAAAAATTAACCCCCTATTGGAAAGGGGGTGAAAAACCCCCCCTTTTTTCCCCCCCCCCCCTCCAACCCCCGGATTTTAAAACCGCTCCTTTCAACCCCTTTTCCCGGGGGAGTAGGGGCCCCCTTACCCAGGGCCGGGCAGTCCCCCAAACCCCAAACCCCCCACCCCCGGGGGTTTTTACCCCCAACCCCGGGTGTGGCTCCCCCCCCTGCCGTGGTTTTCCCCCCCCCAACCCATCCAAAAATGCCCCGGCCCCCTTGGCAAACCCCCAAGGTTTTCCCAAAATCCCTTTACCCCCCCCTCCGGACACTCCCCCTTCCAGTTTTTAAAACCCCGGTCCGGGGGTTAAATTTTTTAAAACCCCCCCCCCCCAAAAAAAAAAAAATTTTATATATTTATATAATATATATATAAAAATTAAAATAAAAAAAAAACATTAAAATAAAAAAAAAAAAAAATAAAAATGAAAATTTTAAGGTGGGTTTTCCCCCCCAGGGTTTTCGGGTAATTTACCCAAAATTTTTTAAATTTGCCCTCTGGATAAGACGGCTCTAAAACGTAAATGTGCCCTTGAAACAAGGCCCCTTAAAACCCAATTGCTCCTGGAAGGGCGCCCTGGAAAAAAGCGTCCCGCTAAAAGACTAAAAAGTTAAAAAGTAAATGTAATCGGGGGGGCCCCCAAAACCAAATTTTATTCCCTTTCCAAACATCTCGGCTCACTTTACAAAAAAGTGCTGCTCGCAATCGGATGCACTTTTAGCCCATTTAGGAGACAAATAGCACAGGAAAAACCAGTGCGCACCGCTCCACCACCGACAGTCCAGCGGTGAGGTTTTGAGCGAGTCGCAACAAAATGCACGGCCCTTCCGCGGCCCACTTGACTTTATTCTTGAACGGAGACAGTTTGCTCGCTGGGCCGTTCGCTTTTTGGACCAAAAACACGGCTCCGTCGGTGACTTTTGGCCCGATATAGGCGACCAGAAAACACAAGTGAAAAAGCATTTGGCCAGCCCAGAGAAGCCGAGCTGGGTGGCTTGAGTCTACATGGTTCTCATGTCGCGTTTAAGGCCAGCCCCCTGCTCGGTGTGGAGCTTCAATAGCGCAGAGCAGCGTCTACAGCAAACTACTCCTCGCAGACCGTGTGTGTGTGTGTGTGTGTGTGTGTGTGTGTGTACCGGACCAAACGACAGATAGACATGGCAGACGTCGCAACCAGCACCCGCCGCCGCCGCGCCGGCCCAAGCCCCCCAAAAAAACACAGCCAAGCCCAAAAATTTTACCCAGGTAGGCAACTCCCTCTTCCCAAAGGGTGTGGAAAACCGCTTTTCCCAAAAGGAGCGGCTTTCCCTGGCCGCGTCAAGAAGACGCTGGGCAGGGGGCCCACACTTTTGGGGAAAAGAAAACCCCCTCCCCCCCCGCGCAAATCGCATTTAGGGGCCTCGGGCAAACCCGGGGAACCCTGGTCCAACCAAGGGCACCGGGCTCCCTCCTTAAGGGTCAACAAGAAAAGCCGTCGAGGCAAGAAGCCCGCCCAAAAAGCCGCATTTCCCCCAAAAAAAAATTTTTTCCCCCAAGAACCCCCCGGCAAAACCCCAAAGGGACGGGAAGAAACCCTCCCCGCCCCCCAAAAAGTCCCTTTCAAAAAAAAACCCAAAAAACCCCTAAAACCACAAAAAAAAACCCCCCAAAGACCCAAAATTTTTTAAAAACCCGCCGCACGGGCCCGAACACCAAGATTTCCCCAGAAGGCTACAAAGGCAGCCAAGCCCAAAGCCGCCAAGCCCAAGTCAGCCAAGGCCAAGAAGGCAGCCCCCAAGAAGAAGTAAACCTATTACAAACAGTGTTTCTACTCGACACATGTTGTACCACAAAAGGCTCTTTTAAGAGCCACCCACCTCTTTCCATAGAAAGCGCATTGATTTCCATGTACTACCTGTCGTGAAAAAGAAATTACGCACACTAGGCTACTTTTACACACACAACATTGTCCCACTCTGGGTGTGTGCGAAGGGAGAGGCATTTAATAGAGGGCCAAAATGGCTTAGAAATTCGACCTCACGAGTGCACCCCTCACCAGCCATTTTTATATATGAGCCACTGGGCTATTCCCGTTCAGAGGCAGGCTGCTGTGATGTGTTACAAGTGCCATGTAATAAAAATAAACAATACTATAGTGGCTTCGAATTCAAACTCACGAGTGCAACCCTCAACAGCCATTTTTATATATGAGCCACTGGGCTTTTTCCCGTTCAGAGGCAGGCTGCTGTGATGAGTTACAAGTGTCATGTAATAACAATAACAATACTATAGTGGCTTCGATTTTCAAACTCAAGAGTGCACCCTCACCAGCTGTTTGTTTCCCATTTGGAGAGAAATAATGTGAGGATTTCATTTCGGACATTTTGGCGCTCACGCGAAATGACACAAAGTAACAAAGTCGGAGGGAAACAAAGTAGCCTCTCACTCGCTGCCTGTGGGTGGGAACCGGCTTAGGGCTGTCTGTCTGTCCCTCGCTCCAATTGGATAAGGCCACACTGCCCGGTGGCCAATCGTTGCCTCTTGTGGCGAGGTATAAGTACGGCTCCTCGTGAGTGGCGAGCGGCTCATTCAGACTTTCTGTGACTTTCTCAAGCTACCAATATGAGCGGAAGAGGCAAAACCGGAGGCAAGGCCAGGGGAAGGCAAAGACCCCGTTATCCCGTGCCGGCCTCCAGTTCCCCGTGGGCCGTGTGCACAGGCTGCTGCGCAAAGGCAACTACGCCGAGCGTGTGGGCGCTGGCGCACAAGTCTACCTGGCCGCCGTGCTCGAGTACCTGACTGCTGAGATCCTGGAGTTGGCCGGCAACGCTGGGCCCGTGACAACAAGAAGACTCGTACATCTCCCGTCATCTGCAGCTGGCCGTCCGTAACGACGAGGAGCTGAACAAACTGCTCGGCGTGTGACCATCGCTCAGGGTGGTGTGCTGCCCAACATCCAGGCAGTGCTACTCCCCCAAGAAGACCGAGAAGGCAGTCAAAGCCAAGTAAAATCGCTACTGCGACTTCAAACTTGACTACTCAACCCCCAAAGGCTCTTTTAAGAGCCAACCACCTAGCCTCTCCAAAAGCGCAAAGTACCTTTCTATGACCCGCAATACATTGAGTGGTGTATACACAACTATTTCGACATTCTGTGCCCACATGAGGCCTTGCATGAACAACAACACCTACTAGGCCTCGTTTGCCATAGCAGGCTAAGCATTAGATTACACGTGCCTATAAGATGTCACTCTTGACTTTGGCGACTATTATTCTGCGTAAAGGGCCGGCGGCGTCCTATTGCGCATAAAGGGCCGGCGGCGTCCTATTGCGCGTAAAGGGCCGGCGGCATCCTATTGCGCGCGCACCGGGAGTTTGAATTTTGGAGAGGCCGGGCCTCCCGTCCAATGGCCAACGGAGGAGGCCTGCGCAACGGGCCAATCGGGGTGGTGGGGAGATGGTGTCCAATCAGCAGGCGCCACTGCCGGCTTTATAAACTTCACATAGGCATTTCGAGGCTATACTACTCCCGACTGTCAGAGCAGCGCCATGGCCAGAACCAAGCAAAACCGCTCGCAAATCCACCGGTGGCAAAGCCCCCAGGAAGCAGCTCGCCACTAAGGCTGCTCGCAAGAGTGCCCCGGCCACCGGCGGTGTGAAGAAGCCTCACCGTTACAGGCCCGGCACCGTGGCTCTGAGAGAGATCCGTCGTTACCAGAAGTCCACTGAGCTACTCATCCGCAAGCTGCCCTTACAGCGACTGGTGCGAGAAAATCGCCCAGGACTTCAAGACCGACCTGCGCTTCCAGAGCTCCGCCGTGATGGCCCTGCAGGAGGCTAGCGAGGCTTACCTGGTCGGCCTGTTCGAGGACACCAACCTGTGCGCCATCCCACGCCAAGCGGGTGACCATCATGCCCAAGGACATCCAGCTGGCCCGCCGTATTCGCGGAGAGCGCGCATAAATGAGGATGACCTGAACTCGAAAATCCCCCAAAGGCTCTTTTAAGAGCCACCTCCATATTTCCATCAAAAAGGCACAATTGTTCCATGTATACACGACCTCTACATTAGCCACCATGTATGTTGTTCACTAACACGTCTAAAAGCTACGTATTGCACCTTTTAGTTGCCTGAAGTCTAGCTTCAATGTTTGTGTGTGTGTGTGTGTATATACACAAACCATCTGGCATCATCCACTTCCTTTGAACTATAGTAGCACAGTAAAATGCTTTACAAAGGAGGGGGAAAAGAAACGAGTGATAATATAGGCCGAATAGTAACAAGAATTGTGTTCAGATGAATAATTGACACTATTAGTTGTGTGTAATAATAGCCTTGCATGCAGTCCAGAAAAAAACATTGCATGCCAACTTACTTTGAAAGTCCCATGTTGCAGTGCTGCTGAGAGACTCATGCAGAGGCCAAAACTTTACAGTGGAGCACGGAGGCCATCTTGTTGTTAAATGTGGGTACTGCACATCATGGTGATTTCCCTTTCTGTATTTGCTCTTTAGGCCAGCGTTTCCCAAACGCGGTCCTGGGGTCCCCAAGGGGTGCGCGTTGTTGCGTTTTACCCTAGCACTCCACAGCTGATTCTAATACTCCAGCTTGATGATGATGAGTTGATTATTTGAAGCAGCTGTGTAGTGCTAGGGCAAAAACTCCCAAAACGTCCCCCGAGTTTGGGAAACCCTGCTTTAGGCTAATACTAGCCTATTTGGATGACTTGGTTCGATCGCTTTAATGGCAACTGCTGAACTCTGGTTTTCACTAATTACTTGTCCCAGGTCACCATTATGAATCCAATAGCAAAGCAAATTTTTCAAAATTGCTCAATAGTGAAAAAAGGGCAGGAAACGATGGGTTCTCAGCAATATTTCACCAACAACCAATCACTATTCAAGCATAGACATTAGGATCATCAACAAATATTCCTAAGTCATACTACAAAAAGGGTTGTAACGAAATGGATTTGTCTGTTCAATGCAAGTTCAACGTCAAAGAAAAAGTGCATCACCACAACAAACGTGTCTTTAGATACACTGTAAAAAATGACTTTGTGGAATGTACTCAAGCTATTACAGTCACAAAAGCACACGTCATATTATTGAGTAGATCTTTTTGCTTGTTTTTATGAGTAGATAAGCTTGAGTAAGTTGTTTAGATGTGGTCCAATACATAGAGTAAAGATGATAGAGGTAAAAAATTATTATATTACGTTGATTCAACTCAAATAGACATTGTGTTGTTTTACCTGAATGATTCATTATCACTATTATGTATTTAGACCAAGTCAGAAAAATGTTCACATTTTTACTTTGGATTCACTCAATCAGATCCCTTAAGAGAAAAGTTATCCGGACACCGGGAATCCATTTATTTAAACATCAACGGTTTGCAAAACATCTGTTATTATGAGATGAGAAATTACGGATTTGCAATCAACACTGCAGGTAAATCCTGATTGCTGCAGGTAGGCAAAACCGTAGAAATAGGAACTACAAACACTAACTAGTATAGGATCTCTGTGGGCAGAACCATTACTTACGAGAGATACAATGGAGCTTCAACCCCATAGACGTCACGGGGAACAAAATATTCTCATAGTAACATTTTTACATTTACATTTTAGTCATTTAGCAGACGCTCTTATCCAGAGCGACTTACAGGAGCAATTAGGGTTAAGTGCCTTGCTCAAGGGCACATTTACGTCATTTAGCAGACGCTCTTATCCAGAGCGACTCACCAATTGGTGCGTTCACCCTATAGCCAGTGGGATAACCACTTTACAAATTTTTTTTTGGGGGGGGGGGGGGGGGGGGGGGGGTAGAAGGATTACTTTATCCTATCCCAGGTATTCCTTAAAGAGGTGGGGTTTCAAATGTCTCCGGAAGGTGGTGAGTGACTCTGCTGTCCTGGCGTCGTGAGGGAGCTTGTTCCACCATTGGGGTGCCAGAGCAGCGAACAGTTTTGACTGGGCTGAGCGGGAACTATGCTTCCGCAGAGGTAGGGGAGCCAGCAGGCCAGAGGTGGATGAACGCAGTGCCCTCGTTTGGGTGTAGGGACTGATCAGAGCCCGAAGGTACAGAGGTGCCGTTCCCCTCACTGCTCCATAGGCAAGCACCATGGTCTTGTAGCGGATGCGAGCTTCAACTGGAAGCCAGTGGAGTGTGCGGAGGAGGGGGGTGACGTGAGAGAACTTGGGAAGGTTGAACACCAGACGGGCTGCGGCATTCTGGATGAGTTGTAGGGGTTTAATGGCACAGGCAGGGAGGCCAGCCAACAGCGAGTTGCAGTATTCCAGACGGGAGATGACAAGTGCCTGGATTAGGACCTGTGCCGCTTCCTGTGTAAGGCAGGGTCGTACTCTCCGAATGTTGTAGAGCATGAACCTGCAGGAGCGGGTCACCGCCTTGATGTTGGCGGAGAACGACAGGGTGTTGTCCAGGGTCACGCCTAGGCTCTTCGCACTCTGGGAGGAGGACACAGCGGAGTTGTCAACCGTGATGGCGAGATCATGGAACGGGCAGTCCTTCCCCGGGAGGAAGAGCAGCTCCGTCTTGCCAGGGTTCAGCTTGAGGTGGTGATCCGTCATCCATACTGATATGTCTGCCAGACATGCAGAGATGCGATTCGCCACCTGGTTATCAGAAGGGGGAAAGGAGAAGATTAGTTGTGTATCGTCAGCGTAGCAATGATAGGAGAGGCCATGTGAGGATATGACAGAGCCAAGTGACTTGGTGTATAGGGAGAAAAGGAGAGGGCCTAGAACTGAGCCCTGGGGGACACCAGTGGTGAGAGCACGTGGTGCGGAGACAGCTTCTCGCCACGCCACTTGGTAGGAGCGACCGGTCAGGTAGGACGCAATCCAGGAGTGAGCCGCGCCGGAGATGCCCAGCTCGGAGAGGGTGGAGAGGAGGATCTGATGGTTCACAGTATCAAAGGCAGCAGACAGGTCTAGAAGGACAAGAGCAGAGGAGAGAGAGTTAGCTTTAGCAGTGCGGAGAGCCTCCGTGACACAGAGAAGAGCAGTCTCAGTTGAATGACCAGTCCTGAATACCTGGACCATGGATACCTACGGAAATGGAGGCTCAAATAGCTTGTGTTTGCACTGTGAGATATTTTTCAAACTACAATGCCAAAACATTGAACAATCCCAATAATCTAAACACTTTTACTCGTTTGTTCCTATAACATTTCTCTGTTCACGAGCACTGCTGATGGACGCCACCTATATTACTTTGGTCATTTTCCCTTTAACCCAAGACCCTGCAACTACAACAAGTGGCTACGAATTGTGACAAAATTGATTATTTCCATAGCCATTACAGCAGCTAGCTTTTAGCTAACGTACGTTAGCAATCAAGGGCTGACACACGGTTGATACGCTACTAGCTAGTTTGCGCTAATAAACATGGGCAGACAAACCTAAATTAGCTAACGTTAGCTTAGCTTAGAAAGTAACCTAGCTAGCACAAGCGCCCTTATGTTAGCTAGCTACCTACTAGCTAAAGGTAGTATGACACAAAAAAGAGGACGAGGAAACGTAGCGTGGGATGCCGTATTCTCGGCATATTCAACAGCGTTTAAATAATGCATTACCTTCAACAGTGTTATCTTGTGATCAAGCCATCAATGTTAGGTGATTTTTGGTGGTGTCAAAATGTTAGCTAACGGGTTAGCAATTAGCAAGTTTGACATTTCAGTGGAAATACTATTTTCAGCTTTTTGATGAGCGGTTTTGAGAAAAAAAACGTCACGTATTATCGCCATTCGGGCCCCAGTTGTTGGCCACCTTACTATTCAGTTCCATTACAAGATATATCCGTTCAATTTTGTTCAAGAGACACACCGCCCGCGTACCGGAAGTGTTTGACTAGTTGGCTAGGTTTCCAGTAAAAAAGAATGATTTTCCTGTCCACTTTTCATTGCGTGGCCCGGTGCGCCCTCTTGAGGACGATTAAAAAATGGTCCATCACCTACATATTCAGTGTTATAACCAAATAATGTCTCATCATTTGTTTTACAGATTCATCTTATGTTTTGAGAAAGTAGATAACAGTTGAATTCTAAAATATGAGTATTAATAATTTACATCAAATAAACCTTTATTTTCAGTTATGTGCATTGACATAAACAATGAAAACACTTGGAGTTTGTTGCAGAGATGCACTTGGAGAGTAAAGGAAGAACTACACAAGAGTGGTTCCATAAATATATATATATATATATATATATATATATATATATATATATATATATATATATATATATTACATTTTAGACTTTTCTTTTTTTGTACAAATAAATAATTTCATATGAACACAAACAATTAAATCTCGACCTCCATCCCTATATTGTCACAAAAATCACAATAATATTCCAGCTACACCGCTACCTCTTGATCCCACTGCACACACCTGCAGTGGAACCAGTGCTGACAGAAGTCACAGCACAACCATGGCACCTCGGATCTACACTCCTGAGAGGAGCTTGCAGGCGGATCACGCTCCCCGCAGCGAGCACAGCAGGTGGTCTTCTTTTATACCAAATAATACAAATGGATTAATATGGTTTTACAAAATGTAGAAGTTCTTCAGCAACAATAGTAATTGATACAACTGAGAGAGAGAGAGAAAAACAGATGAAGTACCTGAGAGCGGTGCCATGGGTGGCGTGACCGACGTGACCGGTGGAGCTTTTCTCTTCCTTTTCTGTGCTGCAGTTTGAGAAAAAGTACTGTTAGACAGAGCATGTTTCATGAAAACCCTTTTCCACTTTTTTACACCAACACCTCTGGAGGAAGCCGCAGAGGTTTTGGAGGAGGTGGAGATGACTTGAGGGCTGGTGCTATGCACTGTAGATATGTAAAGATAGATTCTGTTGTTTACATTGCTGTTGTATAAAACAGATAACAAACAGTCATTTTTACGTAATTTAACACGCGTTTACCTGTGGAGGTGGCGGTATTCAAATTGCAGGGGGCCAGGGACACCAGACGAGGCC